TACCAACGTGCAGAAAGTAGTCTAGATATTTAAATGTTTTAATAAAATATTTTAAACTGTCTTTCATACAATCCATTTATTTATTAGTTTTTGGGTTAATTGATAGGGCTTATATCTTTTAAAATTCGAATTTTTAATTTAATTCTTTTTTAAGTTACTAAAAGTGAAGGAAAGTTTCTTTATAGCAACGCCTTCACCGGAGGAACTTCGCGTTAAATTTTAATTGGCATGTAAAAATATAATCCGAAATCCGGCTGAAGAGATTTATCTTACAAGAAGCAAAAGATCTAAAAACGTCTAGAACAAGAATAGTACTTAAAAACCGGTCCTAAGGGCTCGCATATTCTTTCTGTGCTTATCTAAGACAGCTCGAGGGGAACAGAGTGCAATCAATTAATGCAGCAGCCGACTCCAAAGATGGCTCACATACATAAAAATGTTGGCCCAGAGTTTCGGTGGTGGTGGTGGTGGTGCAGCACGAGTGCAGTGTTTGTGTGTGTTATGAATAAGGCAGGACGAAAACTTGGGCTTTTGACTTTGGCAGCGCCAAGGAGTCGAGTCAGGCAGCCAGGCACGGTTAATAAAACAGACAAACACTCAAACTTTTGCTATAAAAATTTCCAGCTAGTGTGTGTTTGTGTGTGTAGGGAGGGGGGCCAGAAGCGAGTTTTTTAAGTTGCCAGCGTTGTTTGCTTGCTAAACAAGTGCTATTAAAAGAGCATAAAAAGGTGGAAGGTGAATTGCGATTTGGGGAATGGGAAATGGTAGATGGTAGCAAAGACAAAGGAAACCCCAGCCAGCCAGCCTTCAGGTATCGTTAAGGTCCTGGTTGCAGGATGCTCCTTCCCCCCATCCGTAATAAGCCCCGGAAAATCTTCATGCAAACTCAGAGTTTTTATATTTGGCAGCTTAGGTGCACTTCTGCAGTTGTCCTTTTGCCTTTCTTAATGCACTGCACAGAGAGAAAAAAAACCCGAATGCATAAAAAAGAAACAAAAGCCGAAGCAACTACATGATGCAGTGAAATTTTATGCGCTTAGTTTTTATTGCGAAATATTTTGCATGGCCGGGGCGGCAGTATAAAGAATTATCCACTAAAACTGCTGTAAAGTGAGTCAAGTGTTTGTTAAGAAGTACAGCTTCTGCTAACTCAAGAGCCGACCCGAAACTTTCCAGCCACCGACCCTTTTGCGTTGGTGCAGCCAATTTCCGAGCTCGATGCGTTTTCAGTTTGTGCGGCCAACGGGGCGTATGAGTAACATGTGCACTTTATGCAGGGTGGGGGCCTATTTGCTTTATTTATATTTCACCGCTGTGCCATTTTGAGCGCGCATATTAAACAGGACATGGCTGTTTGTGTGTGTGTGTGTTTGTGAGTGGCCATGGCAGCAGGACAGGCCAGCGGGCAGGATAACAGAGGCCCAGAGACACGGCCAAAGTGCAAAATGCAGTAAAATATTGAAATTGTACAGTTCCCGTTGTGCAATGAGCCGCAATGCCAGCGACGTTTCAGTGTTTCCCCCTCTGCATTTCTTTTTTTGTGCACTCACATGTGGGTAAAAATTTTGATTTTACGTGACTGGCATGCGACGATTGCAGTGTCGGGGGCACTGGAGAATAAAAAGGGGGTTCGATTGTGGGTGGGTGACTTCGGAGCAGCTTTTCTCTTATTTCCAATTAGCATTGCAAATTCATTTGCAGTTTATCGGGCTGAAATAATTCCACGGAACCCTGGGTGGAAATCACAAATAATTTTGAGTCCTGCGTACATCGATTTCAATTTTGATGTCTGACAACTGGCAATAAATCTATTATGCCATTCAAAATATGTGAAAAAGTGTATAAAATGAAAAAAAAATATTTTTCGTATTTTAAGCACGTGGTATACTTTGTATTTTTATTAAAATGTATAAATTATTTTAAGTCCATAATATGTGGATCTATTTTTCTTAATAAAAAAAAACCAAAACTATTTCTATCCGAAAAATTTACATGGACTTAAATCAAATCTTAAAATCTAGAAAAGTAGCTTTTTCTACATTTCTAGAGGGTAATGAAACACTTTTTATAGAATAATTTAACTAACCAAACTAAGAAGCAATTTATCGTTATTTTAAACCTTATCACAGTCTTATCGATATCCCCACAACCCCCCAAGAAAATAAGAAGGCTTCAAATCATTTGTTTTTAATTTTGTTTTTCTGTTTTTTGATTAACATTTTTCCATTTTATTTGATTATTTCTCTCTTGCTCGGCTGCAATCGCTGGCAGCGCCTTTTTCTATGCATATATTAACGTGTTTGCAGCCACACACTCAAGTGTAATTGTGTGTGTTTGTGGTTGTGTGGGTGTAGGTGTGGGCCGGTGTGTGTATTTGTATTTGTAGTTGTATTTGTGAGTTTGTTCCGGGGGCTTCGTTCGGTTTTGATTGAATTGGATAGGCTTTTGATAGGCGCTTAACATAATTATGGCATTTTGCTTGCACACTTTTCATAATTCTCATTTTTTTGCTGTACGTTTTTTAATGCTTGTTTATTTTTTTTATTCTTCGATTTTTCCTGCTGCTGTCACAAATGCAATTATATAGCCGTGTTGCTGGGATTGGTTGGTTGGGTCTGATAGCGCTATTTTTATGATCTATCATATGTCTGCGCTGGGCCTTTGCAAAAACAGATGCTCTCCAGCAGCTTTGTTTGCACTCGGCGTTTTTTTTACATTTATATGCAAATATTAATACAATCTTCTTTTTAGTTAGTTTGCCTTTGTTATGCGCACATATTTCTTGTTTTTAATTATATGGGTTTTTTTAAATATATATTTTTTTTATATATTTATATGTACATACACAACATTGAATCATTTATTTATATTCCTTTTGCTTACACCATAACTATGTTTACATAATTAAATATAATTATGCTATTATGTATATGTCGTAGAGTATTTCTGATTTTTTTTCCTTCCATTTCATTATATTTATTTCGTAATTTTACCATAATTTTCCAACATTTCCAACATATGTTCAGCTACAATTTTATTTAATTTCCATTGGTTTCTCCATATAGTTTTTATTTATTTATATATTTATATTTGCGCATAGCTTGTTCTGACACACAGTTTTCTTGTCTGCTCAAATAACATTTAGTATATATATATATATGTATGTATATATATAGGTGTATATATATAGATTTGTATATATGTAAAGTGATGCATTCGTCGATGCACAGTTTGTCGTTGGCTCTCAAAAAACACGTTATGCCAAGTTGAAAAAATAAATCAGTTTCCTTTGTCCGTAACATCGATTTGCTCTCATCACAACTTATAGAAATTAGACTCGCTTCTTCTTGGCTTCACTTCGATTATCCAATTGAAAGTTTTCTAATTTTGATTTATCCACTTTTCCGTTTTGAATTAGTTTTTCTCAATTTTTGGTTTTCTTTGGTATGTAAAAAATAGTTTACAATTTGTTTTCGCTTTCGTTTTTTTCCGTTTCCGTTTCCTAGCCATTTTGCCTTTGTAAATACCATAAATAATTGTGTTTAGGTTTACATTTTAGTGTATAGTGTTACAGTTACTCTTACGATTCTTAGCTAAACATTGACTACATTTTGTATTTTGCTTTTGCTACACGTTTTCCTTTCATATCCTTTTCTAAATATTTCGCTATTTCCTTAGTTTCTTATAGGTTTCCCTTAATACATTTACACGTTACACAAACACAGATACATGAATAAGGTTCCTTACGTGTGTGTGTGTGTGAGTGTGTGCGTGCATGCGTATGCGTGTGCCTGTGTGTATATGTGTAGTAGCCTCTTCTATGGATATCGTTTTAGGATATATAGTTTTATCTAGTCATGGGTCCGTCTACATATATATCTATATATATTCTCTGGCTCGATCGATCCGTTCTGTTTTCAGTGCAATTATCTACTCGATTTCTGGTGTGTTTATCATTTCGGTTTGGTTTAGTTGTCGGTGCTTAACTCAGTTAGTACATTTACTTTGATATTTCTCTAGATAATGCTGGATAAACACTCATAATCGTGAATCAACTGATCGAAGCTAATGGTGGACCATTTGACTTGCCCTTGACTACTTGCTAATTCTTAGTCCTATGCACATCGATATATCGGTGAAATGATCATCGTAATGGAATCTATCGGAAAATTATCGGTTCTATGATTTTCTATCGAAGATGGGTCTAAATTTCCAAAATGAATATTCTCAGTCAACGAAACATTTTTCTCTTAACCTTTGTCTGTTTTCTTAATCTACGCTTAAACTTTAGTTTCCGGTTAGGTTTTCTTTCTGCCAACTGAAACGTAAGCCCTGGTAAATCATAACCACTTCCTTAATAGCACCCACTCTATTCTTACTCTGGTATATACATACCTACAAACTCGTGTATATGTTTATACCTACTAAAATACATTTAGAGCTTCTGGTTTTTCTTTTTCATGTTTATTTTATTTTTTTGTTTTTTACTGAAGCGACTTCCTTGAACCGCAGGAAAGTCCCTCAAAAATAGACACAAATAACACACATTCATAACTTTGGTTTTTGGGTTAACCATTTCGGTTTTCGATTGATTAGATCAACTTTGGATTATGGCTATTGCACTTGCTGGCCTGTTCGGTTTCTGCTGTCGCCATTTCGAATACTTAATCTAGGGTTAGATTTGGTTTACGTGTGTTTCTAGCCAGTAATGCTGCTCCTTTTTTACACTTCGGGCATGCCATAAACCTGGGCCACTGGTGGTTGTTGCTGCTGCTGTTGCTGCTGTGGTTGTTGCTCGTTGTTTGCGACCTGCTGCTGCTGCTGTTGCTGCTGCTGCTGCTGTTGCTGTTGCACCCAGTGCGATGGATAGTACAGTTGGGGGATATAGTGTTGCTGCTGCTGCTGGTGATGCTGGTTGTTGTTGTGGGTCTGCTGCTGCTGCAGTTGGTGGTGCTGCAGCTGCTGCGTTTGGTAGGGCGGCTCCTTCACATATTCCCCGGACGTCTGCTGCTCATGTTGCTGCTGCAGCTGCTGCTGCTGCTGCTGCTGTTGCTGCTGCTGCTGCTGTGTGGGATACATGGCCATCCCTCATGGCAGCTACACGAGCAAACTGGGCGCCAGCCACTCGTCCTCCGCCAGCTAAACGATTCACAATCGTTAGGCACCGCCATATGATAATCATCCAAATCCTGGATAACTCACCTGTGGACTGACCTGGAACTGCTGCATCGGATAGGCAACCACTCCGGCCGCCTGTGGCAGTGCACTGCCCACGCTCTGAGTAATCTGCGGCGCGGTGGCTGCCGCTGCACTGGCCAGCTGAGGCTGGGGCGGACACTCTGCCAGGTGCCCGGCAGCTGGACCCCCATTCTGGAAAAAGGTAACAATATGAAGGTATCATTAGCTATACCCCTCGAAGAGTCGAAAAATGGAGGAGATATGTGTTTTTTCTATACAATGAAAAAGGAAAATTCAATTTAAGGTGTCTAAAAGTATGCAACAATATTTTAAAATCAGAGTATAATGAAGTCCTTAATGATTTTTCTACTGCATACTTTTAGACACCTACAATATATTTTGAATTTTCTTCATTTAAATTCATTAATAAATAAATAATATGCAATTATATTTTATTTCCTCTCCAGATCGTGGTTTCCAACTCACCCCATGTATCCCGCCTGCTGGTAGCCGGCGAATTGACCGTAGGTGAATCCCTGCATCCCTGCAGGAACTGTCCCGGCTGAAGGGCGCTGGCGGGGGCAGCCGCCGGATATGTGGGTGCCGGCGGGTACCAGTATCCGGCCACCTGCTGTCCGTAGGCAGCCGCTGCAGCCGCCGCTGCCGCCGACCCGAAGGGGAATCCCTGGGCCAGAGCACCACCGGCAATGGCCGACATGTGGTTGGGGTCACCACTCTCCTTGCCCCACGCACACTTCACCGGCTGCTGGTTGATCTCCGTGTTGTTCACGGCCACGATGGCGTGGGTGGCCGCCTCCTTGGTGGAGAACCTGCAGGATTACAGAGAAAAATAATATTCAAAGTAAAATATTAATTTTTTTTATTCATATCAAAACAGCTTTAAATTATTACCTATTAATTAAACTAATACTTGTATTTTCTTAATTTTTTTAAAGCTTGATTTTCATGGAAACCTGAGATTTTATAATAGGTCTAAGCTAAAAAGACCATCTTTATATTGTTTTATGTTTTGTATATTTTTTTGCTAGCCGTAAGCAGATTGGCCTGGTTTAATTTCCGCTTAACCCGCTGCGGCAACAAAGCGCAAAAGTGGTACAAGCGTCTGTGGAATTGTTTCGTTGTTGCTGGATTGGTTATAATGATGCAGCAACTCTGCCACAGCTGCTGCTGCACTTGTAGTCCCCGAGCTCATTATGTTACAAAATGCCAAACAATGCCTCCGCTTCGCTTCAGACCCCCTTCAACCCGCTTTCTCCCACTTTCTCCCTGGCTTTTTTTACCCCCTTGCCGCCTTCTTTTTTTCGCATCACGTTTGCAACACACAAATGAGTTTTGGAGCAGTGCACAAAAGGCGCCCATGGACATGGCCAGCAACTGCAATGCGTTTGTTGCCCGCCCTTCGCTCTCATCACACTTCACACATACACTTGGAAAAAATTAATTAATGAAATCATATTACAAAAATATATATACAAACAAAATAGTTATACATTTTTTTAAAGAATATCAATATCAACATTATTTACATTAAAAATTATGATTAAAATATTTACATATCATATACAACTTATTTGGTAAATACAAATATTAAAGAACCTACAATAAGAAAGCCAATATAAATAAACTATGTTTATAAATATGGTTCTTAAATTCGGGATAGTTTTTGGATTAAGTAATATTTTGGCTTAGTGAGCGAATCCTATCCGTATCTGCCCTTTTGGTTGCGGTGGGGTGAACTCAGTCCGTCGTGGGCCAACGGCTGCCATTAAAACCCTATCAGCATTCGTGACGGCAGCTGCGATCTCCACCGCCAACACCACCAGCACCACCGGCACCACCACCAAACATCCAGCACCACCGACTCCTTGGTACGGTTTTTTGCTCGCTCGTACCATTTTTTTTTTGTATTTCCCGCTTTTTTACCCTCTACCGTACCATCGTTGTCATCATGGTTATTGCGGTTCATTGTTCTGTTTGTAACTTCAAATTTGCCTTCCGATGTTGTAGTTGCTGCTGTTGCAGTTCTTGTTATTGTTGTCGAGTGTAAAAGTGTTGTTGATTTATTAACGGCGGGCGGCTTGGATGGGGGCCACACACACACTCGTTTATGTGGTGTGTGTGCACTCGGCGACAATGACAATGGGGATTCAGCGATGACACCGCAGACCGCCGCACACGCACACTCATACAGGCGGCAAATCAAAATGGCTGGCAACAAAGGGTTAATGTAGCACACTTCTAGGGGCACAGAAAATGGGGGAAAGTGTTGAACTACTCATTGATTGCTCTATTATTTGATCGATTCCTTGATCGCTTTTTCTTTCGGTGCGAAGATGTACTTAGAAAAAAGTCTACTAAATCTTAACTTTTTATGAGTTACAATGGTATAGATCGATTAAAAGAAGTTTGTTAGGGTAGAGTTCTTTTTTTACCTTTAATTCTAGGTTTTAATATCATTTGTTATTATATGTTGTTCTTATTTTTTTTAAAATTTTTTTACTTTTACTGATTTCTTTCATTTTTTTCTCTGTGCACCGTCAACTTACCGCACAAATGCATAGCCTTTGTCCTTGAAGACCCGTATCTCCTGTATTGTGCCGTAGGGCGAGAAGGTCTTCTGCAGTATCTCCTCGTTGAGGAAGCCGGAGAGGGCTCCGTTGATGCCGCCACAGTAGACAGTGCAATTGGTGGGGCTGCTCTGATTGTAGACCTCGTCAAAGGTCAGCGGCTTGGCGTTCACTGCAACGGGAGCATCAAGATATGACAATGAGATGCGGGATGGATTGGTGGGATGGTTGGGTCCTGGATACTCACTGTCTGCCTTGGTTGCCGGCGGCTTTCGTGTGGCCCAATTTGTGCGTATCGAGCGAGAGCCCAGCCATTGACCATTCATTGCAGTGATGGCGGTTTCCGCCTCCTGCAACGAGCCAAATTAAATGGAGAGCGCAATTAGCTAAAAGCCCATTCCATTTACGCGGGTTTGTCTAGCCGCTTAAGCCGCTTACAGCGACTGCTAAGTCGGCTCCAAAGACTTCGACTGCTTTTTAGCGAGGCCAACCCAAAATTTATAAACAAACAGCTCAAAAGTGTTAAGGAAAAAGCACCAAAAGTAGCGGAACACTTAGAAAAATTATGTATATTATCCCTTAATTATTGGACATGGAATATGCCAAGATACGACTGATCATATACTTTTTAAAAAACTTAAATAACAACTTTAAATTATTTGTAATTATTTGTATATTATTAGCCTGAGAAACAATTTGATCTTGTTTTTAGTCAATAAATAAAAATTCGACTTAAAGAAAAAAAATTGACACAAGTTTTGGTTCAAAGTCTTTACATAAGTTATTGTTTAAGTTCATAATAATAATATTTAAAAAAATCAAGATGTATTTTTAAGTGCTTAAGCACCCAAAACAAAATAAAAAGGACATGGAAAAACAATCGCGTTGGCTGGAAAGTTGCTCCTTGCGGTTAGCAGGCGACATTGTTGCTCTTTGATATTCCTTGGCAGTGTTTGTGAAAAGTAAAGTAAAGTAATGGAGGAGGAAAGTGGGTGGTATCAGGCGAGGAGAAGGGGAGGGGCAGGTTATATACGTAGCATTTACAAGGCCGTGCACAAATTATAATTTCAATTTCGCATAAAAGGTAATTCGTGCGTATCAAACGTGATTCATGCCGAAATGATTGCAACTGCCAGAAGGTCTTGCATGCAGTCTGCCTTCAGTGTGTGTGTGTGTGTCAGAAAGGGGAGTGTATATGTGTGGGTATCCTGCTCCTGTTTGTGTGAGTGTGTGTGTGGTGGGCGTTTCATAGCAATTTACTTGCGGCACACCAAAAGACCGAAGACCGAAGCCGAGTGGAGCCAGCTAAAGCAATGCAATGCAATAATGGCATTTGCGGCGCTGCAGACGCTGCAGCTGCTCATTGCACGTCCTTTAAATGGCGCAAAGTCGAATCCGCATCCGGATACGACTGCGGCTGGCAGCAACTGTAACTAGGCACCTACGACGGCCCACCTCCGACCCACCCACCTTTAGCCCCCAGTCCGTCCGTCTTTGCTTCTTTTTTTCCATTAATTTTCCTACTCTTTGTGGCGGCTACGTGCAACGCTCGAAATCAGCGTTGACGTGCACCGGCTGAAAAACGACGTTTTCAAACCGAAACTAGACTCGAACTTTGCAAGAGGGCAACTTTCGAGGGTTTTTCAAGAGCAGATCTCATTCGGGGGTCTGTAATTGCTAAGCGTTATTAAAGCTAAAGTTTTACTAGGGAACCATAATTCATAGAAAATTCCAGTATAAATCGGATCCGATTACCCAAGTTATGAATTTAAAGTGCAATTTCGGGTCCCCATTTGAAAGCCTTGGAATTACGCAAAATTCAACATGAAAATGGGTAAAATTTGGACTCCTTTTAAAAGAAATATTGAATGTAGTAAATAGGAAATTCACCACAATTTCAATTTTGGTCCCATTCTGAAACCCATTGGAATTACGTAAAATTCGAACATGAAAATGGGTCAAAATTTGGACTCTTTAAAAGAAATATTTGAATGTAAATATAGGGAATTCAATCACAAATTCATAGAGGTATCCCACGTATAAATCGGGATCCAATACTTAAGTTATGAAATTTAGAAGTGCAATTTTGGGTCCCCATTCTGAAACCCATTGGAATTACGCAAAATTCGAACATGAAAATGGTTAAAATTTGGCCTCCTTTTAAAGAAATATTTAATGTAGAATAATAGGAATTCAACCACAAATTCATAGAGGTATCCCACGTATAAATCGGGATCCAATTACTTAAGTTATGAAATTTGAATGCAATTTTGGGTCCCATTCTGAAACCCATTGGAATTACGTAAAATTCGAACATGAAAATGGGTCAAAATTTGGACCTCCTTTTAAAAGAAATATTTGAATGTAAATATAGGGAATTCAATCACAAATTCATAGAGGTATCCCACGTATAAATCGGGATCCAATACTTAAGTTATGAAATTTAGAAGTGCAATTTTGGGTCCCCATTCTGAAACCCATTGGAATTACGAAAATTCGAACATGAAAATGGTTAAAATTTGGCCTCCTTTTAAAGAAATATTTAATGTAGAATAATAGGAATTCAACCACAAATTCATAGAGGTATCCCACGTATAAATCGGGATCCAATTACTTAAGTTATGAAATTTGAATGCAATTTTGGGTCCCATTCGAAACCCATTGGAATTACGTAAAATTCGAACATGAAAATGGGTCAAAATTTGGACCTCCTTTAAAAGAAATATTTGAATGAAGAATATAGGGAATTCAATCACAAATTCATAGAGGTATCCCACGTATAAATCGGGATCCAATTACTTAAGTTATGAAATTTAGAAGTGCAATTTTGGGTCCCCATTCGAAACCCATTGGAATTACGTAAAATTCGAACATGAAAAGGGTCAAAATTTGGACCTCCTTTAAAAGAAATATTTGAATGTAGAATATAGGGAATTCAACACAAATTCATGAGTATCCCACGTATAAATCGGGATCCATTACTTAAGTTATGAAATTTAGAAGTGCAATTTTGGGTCCCCATTCTGAAACCCATTGGAATTACGTAAAATTCGAACATGAAAATGGGTCAAAATTTGGACCTCCTTTTAAAAGAAATATTTGAATGTAGAATAATAGGGAATTCAATCACAAATTCATAGAGGTATCCCACGTATAAATCGGGATCCAATTACTTAAGTTATGAAATTTAGAAGTGCAATTTTGGGTCCCCATTCTGAAACCCATTGGAATTACGTAAAATTCGAACATGAAAATGGGTCAAAATTTGGACCTCCTTTTAAAAGAAATATTTGAATGTAGAATATAGGGAATTCAACCACAAATTCATAGAGGTATCCCACGTATAAATCGGGATCCAATTACTTAAGTTATGAAATTTAGAAGTGCAATTTTGGGTCCCCATTCTGAAACCCATTGGAATTACGCAAAATTCGAACATGAAAATGGGTTAAAATTTGGTCCTCCTTTTAAAGAAATATTTGAATGTAGAAAATAGGAAATTCAACCACAAATTCATAGAGGTATCCCACGTATAAATCGGGATCCAATTACTTAAGTTATGAAATTTAGAAGTGCAATTTTGGGTCCCCATTCTGAAACCCATTGGAATTACGTAAAATTCGAACATGAAAATGGGTCAAAATTTGGACCTCCTTTTAAAAGAAATATTTGAATGTAGAATATAGGGAATTCAATCACAAATTCATGAGGTATCCCACGTATAAATCGGGATCCAATTACTTAAGTTATGAAATTTAGAAGTGCAATTTTGGGTCCCATTCTGAAACCCATTGGAATTACGTAAAATTCGAACATGAAAATGGGTCAAAATTTGGACCTCCTTTAAAAGAAATATTTGAATGAAGAATAATAGGGAATTCAATCACAAATTCATAGAGGTATCCCACGTATAAATCGGGATCCATAACTTAAGTTATGAAATTTAGAAGTGCAATTTTGGGTCCCCATTCTGAAACCCATTGGAATTACGAAAATTCGAACATGAAAATGGGTTAAAATTTGGACCTCCTTTTAAAGAAATATTTAATGTAGAATAATAGGAATTCAACCACAAATTCATAGAGGTATCCCACGTATAAATCGGGATCCAATTACTTAAGTTATGAAATTTGAATTGCAATTTTGGGTCCCCATTCGGAAACCCATTGGAATTCCTTAAATTCGAACATGAAAATGGGTCAAAATTTGGACCTCCTTTTAAAAGAAATATTTGAATGTAGAATAATAGGGAATTCAATCACAAATTCATAGAGGTATCCCACGTATAAATCGGGATCCAATTACTTAAGTTATGAAATTTAGAAGTGCAATTTTGGGTCCCCATTCGAAACCCATTGGAATTACGTAAAATTCGAACATGAAAAGGGTCAAAATTTGGACCTCCTTTAAAAGAAATATTTGAATGTAGAATTATAGGGAATTCAATCACAAATTCATGGAGGTATCCCACGTATAAATCGGGATCCAATTACTTAAGTTATGAAATTTAGAAGTGCAATTTTGGGTCCCCATTCTGAAACCCATTGGAATTACGTAAAATTCGAACATGAAAACGGGTCAAAATTTGGACCTCCTTTAAAAGAAATATTTGAATGTAGAATATAGGGAATTCAATCACAAATTCATGGAGGTATCCCACGTATAAATCGGGATCCATTACTTAAGTTATGAAATTTAGAAGTGCAATTTTGGGTCCCCATTCTGAAACCCATTGGAATTACGTAAAATTCGAACATGAAAATGGGTCAAAATTTGGACCTCCTTTTAAAAGAAATATTTGAATGTAGAATTATAGGGAATTCAATCACAAATTCATAGAGGTATCCCACGTATAAATCGGGATCCAATTACTTAAGTTATGAAATTTAGAAGTGCAATTTTGGGTCCCCATTCGAAACCCATTGGAATTACGTAAAATTCGAACATGAAAACGGGTCAAAATTTGGACCTCCTTTAAAAAGAAATATTTGAATGTAGAATATAGGGAATTCAATCACAAATTCATGGAGGTATCCCACGTATAAATCGGGATCCAGTTACTTAAGTTATGAAATTTAGAAGTGCAATTTTGGGTCCCCATTCTGAAACCCATTGGAATTACGTAAAATTCGAAGATGAAAATAGGTCAAAACTTGGACCTCCTTTTAAAAGAAATATTTGAATGTAGAATAATAGGGAATTCAACCACAATTCATAGAGGTATCCCACGTATAAATCGGGATCCAATTACCTAAGTTATGAAATTTAGAAGTGCAATTTTGGGTCCCCATTCTGAAACCCATAGAATTACGTAAAATTGAACATGAAAATGGGTCAAAATTTGGACCTC